GTGTGTGTGTGTGTGTTTGTGTATGTGTGTGTGTGTGTGTGTGTGTGTGTGTGTGTGTGTGTGTGTGTGTGTGTACACGGACATGCATGTGTGTGTGTGTGTGTGTGTGTGACAGTGTGTGTGTGTGTGTGCACGGGCATGCATATGTGTGTCTGTGTGTGTGTGTGTAGTTGAATAAGAAAACTTCAAGTTGATATTTCAGTGGCCCGTGCCTGCCAAACCTTTGGAATGACAGTGTATGGGGTTGTGCGAGGTATACCTGAGGATTCCAAAAAATCTCCTCATGTATCCCACTACAAGTGAGTTGAAAATGAAAAAAATGGTTATGTATGGCTTAACATTGGCCTTAAATTTCAGAGCCAATTTTTCTTTTAGTGTACAAATAGGGCAAATTAATTTTGACAAGCTTTTGAAATGTCGAGTGCCTAAAATTGGCAAATTTGCACCCTGAAGCTTAACACCTATTGGTTGAAGATGATTTAATGAAAATGCTCTGCTAATTTGAATTCAGACTGTTGTCAGAACTGCCAGAAGTTTTCCACAACTGTGATTATGTATGTAACATATTACCCAGTACACCTGAGACCAGAGGTCTGCTGAATGGAGATGTCTTTAAACATTGTGCTAATAAGGTAATTAAGAATAGAACAATTTTAAATTAACAGCAATGCATACCTTACATTTTTGTGAATGATGGTTTTGGTTCTTCGTGTACTTGTATCAGTGCCCCCCCTCCATTTTTTCTGCATGGATTGAAAGAAGGTTGTATTCTTTCTTCAGAAATCAGTCTTCATAAATGTTGGAAGAGGAGATGTAGTGGATGAAGACACCATTGTAAATGCAATAAGGTGAGGAAAAGTTGAGAGGAAAGATAGTGAAAGACAGTTTTTCTTTGAGTAATTATGTCATAATCATTGCAGTTACTGTAAATTTAGGAAAGTCAGCTATAATAGCTGAAAGTAACATTAAATGCAATAAGGTAAGCTGTAGAATGATCTGGCGTCACACCTTGTTCCTGTATCATCTAATACATTGAATCACCTTTTCAGTCTCACCTAACACAATCTGTAATTTCAACCATCTTGTCTCATCCAACACAATTGCTGTGATCTTAGCTGACAAGTCTCACCTAACACAATTTCTGTGATCTTCGCTTTTATGTCTCATCTAAAACAGTCTCTGTGATATAAGTCATTTTATTACACCTCCTACAACTAACTGATCAGAACTATCTGTGTGATTTCAGCCAAGGCTGGCTGTCAGGTGCTATACTAGATGTGTATCCAGAAGAGCCTCTTCCTGCCAGCAGTAAGCTCTGGACCTGCCCTGGTGTCACACTCAGTCCACACGTTGCTGCTGTCAGTTTTGGATGGCAGGTCAGTCTCTCTTTCTCTCTCACTTTTAGATATATAATTATTTGGCTACATAAAAACTATAGGGAAGAGAAAAACACAATGAGGTTATGTACTTTAAGAAACAGAAATGCAAATGAATAAAAAGAATAAAAAATATGAAAAATTATGTTAACTCACTCTCTCTCTTTCTCTCTCTCAACCAAACAGTGCATGGACAGAATGTTCCTCACACATTACATGCAAAAGCATTTATGGAAATATCAACTGCACCCTCTGAATTCTTTGAATGTGTCAAAATCTTTTACTTTTAGGTGGCAGAAGTGGTCTGTGAGAACTATGAAAGATATGTCCAGGGACTGCCACTCAAGTATCAAGTCAGCTGGGAGAAGGGATACTAAAGCGTGGAGGGAGAGAAGGGATACTTAGGTGTGGAGTGGGAGAAGGGATACTTAAGTGTGAAGTGGGAGAAAGGATGCATTTTGTTTTAGACAAAATATTGAAAATATGAAGCTAGCCAGACTAAGCTTCTCTTCATGATTTTTATGAAATCAGTACAATTGCTTGAGCACTTTTTTTACCATATCTTTTATATTGACTAATAAAGTGACTAACCTCTATTTAATTTATTTATTAACTTATGGACTTTCTGGTGAATATGCAATTTTTATACAATCTGTAGTTATTTCTCATATTTAATTGCAATGAGATACCAATTTTGACTCTGTGGAAATCTAATGGGAAGATTTATGGTCAGAAGTAATGAAACATTAACTAGATTTTTATCAGGTAACAACAGACAGTATTTCTAATTTTGATATTTGTATAGACTCAACTCAGCTGTCCAATATTGCCTTATATTTTGCCATGCCCTTTGAAATGTAATTGGAATTTAAGCATTTGCTTGTTTATATACATATATGCTATGCAAATGGTCAGTGGGCAATGCTTTATCAAACAAATTATCAAAATATTTTTGATGCTTTTTCATTGTCAGCTTTAAAGGGAAAACTGCTCTTTATTTAGGCAAGGAAGTGCCATAAAACAAATTTTCCTGGGGTAAACAAAATATTTCTGATTTATTATGTGTTGTTAAATTTGTTATTATAAGTGTTCTTATGGAATTTTCATCCCATATGAACAGTTGTTATCCCTTTATGTTTCGTCATACGTTATGAATTCTTTTCAAGAACATTTTAGTTCTTTTCAAGAGCATTTTCCTAATAGATTTGGACTTTTTGGTCCAATCTATACTCTAGCCCAATTGTGACCATCAGTTTTAATTAAAATTTACATTTAATAATCACAACATTCCTGTTCACCCGTTTACTAAAGTGCATGGGTAAAAGTATTACAAGTCCCCTGTGGATCCCCACCCTCCCCTGCCAAGTTTCACAGATTTAGTTTCTACTAACCTCTGCAGGGATGAGACTGCCATTCAGTGAAAAAGTCCAAAAATATGGCATGAGGTCCAGGGGTCTGCCAATGCCACTGGTATTTTTGGCTCCTAAAAAGTCGGAAATTTGCTGATAGTCAGGGGAAAAATCTCAACCTCTCATCTGAACTTCAGGGTGCCTGCAGAATGATTTGCCAGCAAAACTTTAACACCAGTTTTGTCTTCCAACTGCCACTGGAGCAGTGTTTTTATTGCAAAGAAAATTTGAAAGGTATCGCAATGATACATTGAAGAAATAAATATCTCAAATTGAGATTGCCCATTTACAAATGCAGTAGTTGTTCATTGTCAGTTGTACATTTAAAGCTTTACACAGAAAGGGCACTTGTTCTCGTGTCACTTGAAGATAAAGTGTTTTCTATCTGGCTTGTACACAACACCATAGATCTTGCAAGTTGGCTTACAATTACCAACAAAAAGGTTAAATTATTGTCACAAGTGAATTACAATTTGATGATCTGTAACTTTTAGCATAGATGAATATCTTAAATCAAATATGTCACACTGAAATTGATTAGATTTAAATAGTACAAACGATCCAATAATTGTGAAGAATAATGATATATAAATAGTTGTAATGTACAAAACATGCATTGTATAATAATATATAATTCTGAATTATCTTTGGGCAATGTATGGACGGAATGAAAAAAAAAGTTCATTGTCAAATTGTAGACACTCAGCAAATTAAAAAAGCATGACAACTATGTACATAAATATAAATGATAGTCCAATTATTAGCAATACATTAACAGCCTCATATATATATATACATACTGTTTAGCATACAACACAATTTTTAATGCTAAAGGACATTTAGTTGAAAGTATCACCTTAATTTTTGATATGTTTGTCTGGCCTTCAACATCTTTCACTTCAACTTATCGCTTATACCTGTCACTAAACATTCTATTAAGTTGAAAAAGCAGTCAAGTTGTGTTTGGAATGGAATGGTGGAATAACGGTTTTTCTAATCAGCTGCTTCAAATGAAGATCAAATAATCATTATGGGAAGAGTGAAATTAACACCGAAATTGAAGTTTAGCATGACTTAAAGCCTTGCTGAAACACCCAGCATGTTCTTTTTTAATGGAAGAAGAGCAACCATTATGCTTCTTACCTCTTAAAAGACAAAGAACTTGACACAATGATTAAAAACAAAATGAAGAGACAATTGCCTCAGTATGAAGCAGAGAACAACATATAATTGTCCTCTTGACAGATCTACAAAAATAATCTAGGGATTTTTTTTTTACAACAATAAAAAATAACAGAATACTTGAGACAATTACCAAACATACTTTTCAACATATTTATATTAACAGCTGTAGTCCTTCAAGGTTAACTTTCTGCCTTCATTTGTTTCTTACTGATATAGGCATTATCAGCACTACTCAATATCAAAATACCCCTGTTATCACACTTGGTGACAACTTTAAGCAAAATGACTGATGTACCGGAGGCCGTGTTGTGTATTTTGCTACGTACATATATATAATACCATGTCATAGATGATCTGTTTTAAACATAATCACTAGGTGAGAGATGGTAACAGAAAAAGAGTCTGGGCTCATGCTAGCAGACTTGCAATCACCACTGGCTATGTGACTCCACATGGCGAAAGGAAATAAAAATAATTATTCGCCTTTTTAACTAATTTGTCATCCATCAATTCATTGTAAGTGTTTGAATTGAAATAAATAACCAAGTAAGTATAATAACCAGAGGGCTTTTATGACTTGGTAACTCCAACCATCATCTTTGCTATCTTAGCATCATTGTTAGCGATATTGGACTTCACAGCAGCGATAAGGTCAAGCTGGTCAGAGATGGCAGCGTCCAGGTCAGTCAACTGGACTTTGAGGGGTTCTATTGAAGATTCAGTGATACTGAAATGAGGAATTTAATTTAAGAAATTAAACAGCTGGACTTCATCACTAAAACACATATCAGACAAAATCCAAGATGCATTAAAAATTTGAGGAACCTAGGCCACTGACTCGCTCCTCAGAGAAAATTGTCCAAATTGACCAGTTAACAAAGTGAATTGGTAGAGAATGAAACAAGCCCACACTCTGTGATCAAAATTGATTTAAATCATAAATATTTGTCTATGGCTAACATGATTTTTTAATTCAACAAAATATGCATGTGTTATAATATTAAATGTATGAGATAATGACCATGTTAGCACAACACTTACTTTTGCTCTCTTTTTAATGCCAAAGCATGCTCTTTGTTTTCTTTCTTCCACATTGCTAATTCTTTCTGCATGGAGTCCAAATCTTCTTGCACATAGTCCATGATTTTACCTGAAAGGAATAACCATAGGTCAATATTATTTTGACCACATTAAGTTACAATCATGAATAATAAATGGCATATTTGAGCCCTTTATACATAAACTGATGACTTATAAGAAACTGTGTACTACAAAACAACATATTCCTTGCTTACCTAAAGGATTTGCACTTCTCGTTAGTGTTTGAATGCTTCCCCGTAGCTTGTCAATTTCCTTTTGTACCATCTCTCGTTCTTTTCTCCTGGCTGCATCTGAGATCAGAGGCTTCTCCTACAATACACAAGACCAAATAATATTTTCTTCTAGTCTGCCCAAAGATGGATCTCCATAACCCATTTTAAAAATAATCTACATTTATTGGATCAATATGACAAAGGTGGCTTTTCATTGTCATGGCTATTGGATCCTAGCAGTCTTAAAATTCTTGTGAAACAGCCCCCTGGAACTTACGTGAGTTAGCGATATTACCCACCTGTTCCTTTTTGACTGTCTGATTTTTCTGTCCTATCTGACTGCCTCCCTCCAGCTCCTTCCTCGTCTCCAAGATCTTCTTCACAAGACCGCCATGCTCACCGTCTGTCTCAGCCTCAGTTTGGGAGGAGGTAGGTGGGTCAAGGTCAATTGGAGGTGGAGGGGCAGAGTCCTCGACGACAAATGTGTCATCTTCATCATCATCTCCGCCATCATCCACAATGAGGTTAGATACAGGCTTGCCACTGCCAATTCTAAAATGAAGAGGGTTGTTGTTTGGAATTTGTTTCTCAGTATAGTTTCTCTTTTGTGGTTTTGGCTTTTATCTTTGTGTAGTGTGATTTAAAAACAGAGAGAGAGAGAGAGAGAGAATGCACGCTTCTAAGACCCTTCGAGCAACGTGCAATAAATTTGGAAAAATAATCTAGCCAAATAAAATTTTCTATTCAAATAAGCTCTCTAATACATCCTAGTAACAGAATTATGTAATTAGTTTACCTCATAGCTGGCTCTTCTGTCACAGCTTCTTGTCTCTTCACTCTAGGGGGCGCTGGTCTAGCACTGCTGGGTCTTGCCATTTTACGTCTGAAAGGAAGCAATTTCTTTTTTTTTTTTTTTTGCACTAGAACCAAACATCTACATTTTCATAACTTCTACATTTTCATAACTTTAGAGTGACTTCATAAACATTAAACCTACCAAAGATCACAAGACTTGGATAATTTTGAAGCTCAGAATCAAGTTTGTTATAACGGCGAATATGCAGTTAAGGTAAAAAAAGACTAAATACAAGACCACAAAAATAGCCAAAACTTACGACGCAGCAACTTGGGGCGGTAGATCAGCTTCATTCATGCTTCCATTTGTCTCTGCTTCCTCTTTCTTCTGTTTCTCCTGTCTCATTCTCTCATCTTCCTCATCTGAAAAGAAAAAAAAACTTTCTTAAAAGTTACTTTTTCACAATGAGCACTACGACAAGCACTCTTATGAACCCTTGTGCAATCTACTCTACAACTTTAACATTAAAAATCTTTTAATAGGGTCTTTGGGGCAACTGTGGACTGCACAAGGATTAAATCAACCATCAGTTGTGAAAGACAAAAAGTAAATATCTCTAATTTAAAGGCATTTCTCTATTTGCATTTACACCTATCTCAATTTCAACTAAAGCTAGTGAATAAAATCTTCAAAATGATCATCCATTACAGCAAACTTTTGTATCTAAAAATATTTCCACTCTGCCTAAAAAATCTAATAAGCAATCTGTCGCTCTTGAAAATGAAATTCTATGAACTCTAAATCAATAACAGCAACAAAACTATACATACAGATCTAAGAACCAATTGATACCATATTTATCTGATACAATCTGTATTTTAAGAATTTCATTGGGTATCAAATTAACAAATGCGAATGTATTAATTACTTTCAAATTTTTGGGGGTCACTCAGCTGCACAAATGGGACACATTTGAATCTGCAGCTTTTTTATGTCATCAAATTATCATCAACAGCTTGGAGAAAAACACCATCTAATCTAACTTGCTAGGTTTTATCTTCTTTTCAGTTTTTAAGTATTCACTTTTTTCACTTACTTCAGACTGTCAGTTTTAATGAAAAAATATTCTTGATAAAGTAACAAAATGTTTTTGTTTGCTTAAAAAAAAGCTGCAGATATATGTGTGCCCAGACTTAAATTCAAAACTGGTCATACATATTTCAGGTAAGATGTTAAGACTGGTCAAAATGGTCAAACAATGACCACTCCTAATCATCTCAACATATGACCAAGTTGTTTGCTTTATGTGAAAGGGGAGAACACTGCATCATCTTGCTCCAATTTGCCATTCTGTGACTAATTTCTTGAAAATTTAATTCATTTCTTCATATATATATTCCTTTCCCCAAAGAAAATAAGTATTTCTAAAGCGTAAATGTATAACAATGATGCAGTCTCGTTTCAAGACAAGGTGTTCCTTGTCACATGATCCCATGTGCATAATGAAGAAATTATTTCCCTTTCCAAGATTTTTTTTTTTGCCAAGCACTGTATTTAAATGCTAATGAAATGCTATGCCAGAATATAAGTTCACATCATAACCTTTTCCTCTCTCTGCACAAGTGATCATGCATTGTAGGAAACACCTTCAGATCTTGGAATTCCCCATAAAGTATACATACCTCCATCCTCCCCATCGCTAAGCCGTATTCTGCCTGTAAAATCACAGCAAAACAAGAACATGCACAAAGTTAGTGCACAAAACACAGCAACCAGGTGGGCGTGTGGGTGTGAGTGTGGTAGTCACAGGGGGAAAACACAGGAGTTCTTAAAATTATCTCTGTAGAAGTTGAAGATATAGAGCATCTTCCATGATTTATCAAAATTCTACTTTACAACGTAATCCATTTTTTTTTTCAAACTTGAAATGATTTATTAATCATCTACATTTTACTTTAAGGACAATTTCATTGGATACCAAATTAAGAAAATATAATATACATGTGCTCATTACAGTCAGCTACACAAACATGACACCTTTGAACCTGCAGCTTGCTGATGACACCATATTAGCAAACAACACCTTCCAATGAAAAAGTAAATAGCCAGTGGATATACAGCCAAAATATTCAATCCCCTTTAAAAATTATGCTGAGACCTCACAGAAGCCAAAACTTCGCCCCCCCCCCCTTAAATCTGTATTTTAATCTAACTTTTTTAATTTAAAAAGTGGAATCACAAAGAACATACTTATACCTTAAAAAAAAAAAAAAAAACGCCACTTACAGTGCAAATATAGATAAATTAATACTAAATGTGAATGTATATGATTTTTTATTTTCATCCCACTCTAGAGAACTGTAACCTGCCTAAAATACAGACCATCAGAGAACTTGTGAGATCCCCCTGCTTCAGTTGTCTGTATGTTGTGAAGAGTGTGAGGTAGTTATTTAGTGAAAGCATTAAACAATATAGTGATATGAAACAACAAAATGATATTAGTCTCTGGCTGAGGGAATACTTCAATTTGTGATTAACTGAAAAAACATTTTAACTTTTACTATAGATTTGTTTTTTTTTAAATAATAGCCTCACAAAAGGAAAGTTTTTAAAGTCTGAATTCAGACTCTAGTAAGTGTCTAAACTGATCCTTCTTTTAGTGAGATAAATACATTTTCATTTACAGCATTAACACAGTTTCAGGGCTACTCAGCATAACTCTTATTATCTTCTGCTTTCAACTGTAAAACATTTTCCTTTCTTTTTCTCCCACCAATAATTTGTGATACACTTTCCCAAATGCATTCCCTCTTAACCAATTTAAGCAATCTATTAATTATTTAATGAACATAAATTATTCACATACATTTACTTAATACTGTGCATGATAATTTACAGTAATGGTAATAAAACAAAAATAATTATACATTAATGGACCAAGTGTGTTGTTATATTTCAATGGTGAATTCGGTGTTAATAATAATTATAATACAAAGTTATTCCATGTGCTTGCCACAGCATCCCACAGGAGCAGCATGTGCCAACAACAAGAATACCATCACCAACAACAACACCAGTAACAGCAACAACCAACATGCAGCAACATTAACAGTGATTGTGCAAGAGACATGCATGAAGTGGGAAGAGAAGAAAGGGACCAGGGGTAGAAGCTTGGACCACACTTAATTAACACTGGCCATGAACCAGTTACTGGACAGCAAGGCAACTCTGAAAACTTTTTCACAGACAGCTGGGCTGCCATTTCTAATATTCCTATAAAGAGGTCTTAAGAATAAGAACAATTCCACTTGTCCATTCATCCATCAGTTTACTAATTTCAGCCCATATAAACTTGCATGATCTATGCAACAATTAATCTACAATAACACCTGCAGTTTTGCATGCCATTTCTACAGGAAGAATTCCAGGCTACCTTTCATGCACGCCTAAGCTACTGCTGTCAAACATGAAGCAACAACATTTTTTTAAAATTTATGACTAATGCACCCAGACAAAAAATATATCATCATTTCCAGACCAAACACTGAGATGTACACATTTAGTTTCTATGGGACTCCAATCTTCATCTTTACATCTAATGCAACTGCATGCATTTGGGACCATGCAATTTACACCCCCCTCCTCCAAATTTTTGTTACAACACAGAGCTTGCAACATGTAATACAATATCCTTTTCTATGTTTTTTGTGGTTTAAAATTGACAAAGGAAATGTAACCCAGAAATATGAAGCCTAGCATCACCTTAACAAACCAACTTTAAACAAATCCTTTAAACAAATAGCTTTGATTTCCTTGAAACCAACTCTTTATTTAATTTAAAGTGATAATAACTCTTCATTTCGGCCAAAAAATGAATTTTCCTGGAGTGAACAACAATTTTCTCATACTAACCAATGGTCAATGAATCCATTTTTACATTCAAAGTTAGTCCCTGGTTTTTTTCTGAAAAGTTCGTTTTTTTGTTAAAATCTCTTAAGAGATTTTAACAGAGTATAGCCATCAATGGAGGTTACGTCGTCTAAAGACAAGCTTAGATATCAGAAAAATAGCTATAACTGCCCTTTTTTGTGGTACAACAGAATATATTATATTTCTATGAGTTATTCACAATGTTTTTATTGATTTCAGATGAAGAGTTATTATCCCTTTAAGTTTTCTGGAATCATGAAATCAGTGATAAAATATGAATTTTTTCTCTTATTTTCTGGCTCTCTGTTATGTAGAAAATTTATCAAAAACCTTTAAATCAAACTTCCAAGATAAAATATTCAATACCCATTGAACAATATGCTTCATTTATCAAAAGTATGCATTTTGAACTGAAATGTTTACAATTATTGTTCTCTCACAGCACTAAAAAACGGTTTCCAAGTACAATCAGCTTCCTGCATATGTAAGGGAATCATGAAAAACTACCCATAATCCCTTTCTTCTGTTAGCAAGATGCGTCAGGCAAATCACCACAGCACATCAGGTGGGAGGCGAGGGACAAAGGGGAAATACATACCATCTTTGTGCCGCCTTCGAGACCCTTTGGCCGAGGATGGCCTTGGAATGCGTGCTGGAGGTTCCTGTAAAACAGGTGTTGCGAAATGCTATTTATTAATACACCATCAGTTGGTGTATATAAACTATGAAATTTGACTTGATAAAAGCATTACATTATGATTGGCCAAACATAAAACAAAAACCTATGCTCTCATGGCAAATAAAGGAATGTGAGATGGTGTCAAAAGGCTGATCAAGGTTTAAAACAAAGGGCTATAGCAAGTCATAACTTTATCTGACAAGGAAATATAAATGCATGAGTTGTAACATTATATCTTTTGTGAAAAAAAAAGAGGAGAAAATATACCTCTTCATTCTGAGTCTCTTCTGTTGTGCCATTTACTATAGGCTCCTGATTTTCTTTACGACTTTCATCATTTGCCTACAATCATATAAAAAGTATATGTTATACTGTGAAATGTAACAATATGACAGACTTGCAATACTGATTGTGATACAGACAATACAATACAATATTGTAATGCAAAGCAAAATTCATAAATTTAACCAAAAGAGAGCATTAAAAAAACTTTATCCAATTCAACAATATGCAAATTAATAACCCTTTTAAATTTTTTTCGAAATAACAAAGGAATATAAATAAAAACTTCACCTTTTCTTTTTCTCTCTCCTTTTCTCTATCCCTGTCACGATCTTTTTCTCGAGATTTTTCTTTCTCCCTATCTCTTTCTTTATCTCGATCATGCCTGTCTCCTCTATCTTTATCTCTGTCTCTTTCTTTATCTCTATCTCTGTCCCTATCTCTGTCTCTATCTCTATCTCGAGATTTTTCCCTGTGTTTGTCTCTATCCCTGTCCCGATCTCTATCCTTGTCCCGGTCTCTATCCCTGTCCTTGTCTCTATCCCGGTCTCTCTCCTTATCTCGATCTCTGTCTTTGTCACGAGACTTTTCTTTAGCACTTTCTTTGTCCCGGTCTCTACTTCTTTCTCGATCCTTACTTCTTTCTCTATCTTTACTTCTCTTGTCCTCGTCCTTTTTCTCCTTAAGATAAAATTATGTTATAGATGAGTATTAAAATCTACTTAGTTCTTAAAAGTCATTTATATTTTTCAGTTCACAAGATAAACTTGTTTGGAACACTGACAAATAAAAAAAAAAACCTTTGTGATTTTTTAATTGGCACTGCTGTCCATTAGTACTGAAAATAAACAATACGGTGAACTTAACACTTACATCTTTCCCTCTGTCTTTCCTACCACTAGATGGCTTTCTGTCTCCTTTGTTAAATTTATCTACATATTCATCATTATTAACCTGAAACAGAGTAAAAGTAAATGTAAATACCAGGGCACACAGAACAAAACAGCACCTTAATTTTTGCAGTGAGCAACACTAAAAACAGGAGCCCTCACTTCATTTTATCATGCATAAGTCAAGTGTCAAGGCCTTGCATAAAAAAAGGCAATCCAAAGGATATGACATTTGCTTAATGACTAAGCAAAAAGTGTCAGCAAAATATTGTGGTCAATTTCATTAACAATGGCATTTTCTCAATAATTCTTGAAACTAGACACTTACCTTTTTGCCAATTGCCTCTGCAAGGGCTTGAAGAAACTCGTTGGTTTTCTCTGGCTCATGTCCTGCTACTATTTTGACTGGTTTAGCATCCAACTGACGGCCCAAGACCATGCCTTAAAAGTAAATTCAAGCATGTTAAAGCAAATATGACTACAATCTTTCAACCAAGTTCTACATGATATTCTGCTTAGTTTCTATGCCATGTGTGATAATATCTCAATTACATAAATGATGAGATACTAATGCACATAAACCTTTTAAAAACTCTTTTAATGAAAAATGATGGACTGAAATTTTAAGTACACAGAAGTGACACTTACCAACAAAGTCTATAGATTTTTGTAAAAATGCCATTTTACTATCTTTGTCCTAAAAAGTAGAGAAAAATAATAGAGTCTATGATGTGCTTTTTTTAAAAATTATTTGAAGCACCATTTATTAAACAACTTAGAAGACATCATAACAACATCCAAGGAATTGCTTTACCAAAAAAATCCTTAAAATGCAAAAGTTATGACAGTATCAATATTTTTTCACAAAATACGTCAAAAGTGCAAACCATATTGAACAGATAATGCTGACATGACATTTAGCAATGATGTTTTACCTTGACATTGTCAGAGTTCATCTCTGAATCTGTATATAAGCCTTTCATGAACCCTGTATTTTTTATCACCTGAAAAGTAAGACAAAGGTTATGTATTGAATGTTACGCATTGAAAGAACAAAGTAAAGGGGAATAAGTGTAAATTTTTCTAATAATAACATTGCATTATTGGATGATGAAGCAACAGTACTAAAGAGAGCCCTTTTCTCCAAAACTGGATCTTTAAAAACTGCGTTACGATGACCTAATGAATCATAACATGAGGTAAAACGAATAATAGCATACTGCGTTGGACAGAGCTCTTGACCAATATCTCAAACATCAAACTTACCGAAGTCATGACATCGTGAAGAAATCTAAACGGTGGCTTCGATAACAGTTTTTCTGTTAACGGAGGTTTCTTTATCAATTTGCCTAAAGAATCCTGAGTCTTTTTTATAAGTCTGTCATTCATCTTGAGTCTCTAACTGTTAACACACTTAAAAACCATCAAAGTACACCAATTACGCAAAAGGACTTGTCAAAACTTCTATGATTCCACAACATAGCACTACATTATTTTCTTCTGCTCGGAATTCCATCCCATAATATCCAAACATTGACATGCGCAATGCATACATCCGGCTGGAAAGCTTGGTGTTGCCATGCAACAGCGATGCAACATGAACAGGTGCCCGGCACATCTAACGCAATCGTACCATTGCCAAGTTAAACGTCCTGACAAATGTTGTAACCCGACTTACCGCTTTAACATATCCACAAATACTTAAGAAAAAAGGTAATACCCGTCTACAATTTCACATGCAACCAAAATCATATGAATTGGTATTTAGATTATTTTAAAACATTTAATATTTGAATAGTTGATGGATGTTCATGTCTAGTACAATCAACAGACTTCCTCAGATCATTTTATTTACTTGATGTGACAATTTTTGTAATGTGTACGATTTTAATGTAATACAGCAGAATAAGATAACAAAATAATATTGATTTGTAATATCCAACAAGTTGCCAATTAAACTAATGTAACAACATGTCATTTAAAGTTGTTAAAAACTGATGGAAATTAATCTAAGTAGTAATGTTGTTCATAATTATGTTTTTAAAACTCCTGAGGTTAGGACAAAAACTCTCACAGGTATGCTTTCAAAACAGCATAGAAATTGAACAGTTTTAAAACTTCAGTATTATGAATTGTTAAAAACTGTTTTGCAGGGTTGAAGAGATGACTCAAATCACTTTTCATAAAACAAACTTTTATTGAAAAAGTCTAAAAAAAGAAAAAAATGCAAGTTATCAACACAATGGTACCTAGGAATAACACTTTATTTGCTTAATGTTTTAATAAAAGTTCTTGCTTGTGTTTTATAATTCACTTTTGACATTTCAAATTGGAGAATTAATATTAACAAGAATACAAACCCAGGATAATAACATTTACATCTTTGCACTTATAATAAATAGTCTAACAGTTTAAAACACTATTACGTTAAGGCAAAGGCATCTTATTTCCAGAAGAAAAAACTTTTTAGTGTGGATATACCAGATGAGATGAAACTATTTTTCTGCCATAAAAGAAATAATATCCAAATCAAAAATTCTAAAAGAAAAACATATTTTGTGTCTTGCAAATAGATGTATTTTGTGTTAGTCTGATTGGGAAAATATCTACATTCAAGTTTGCACATTTTTAAAATATATAAAAAGTCCTGAGAACTTTCATTGCATGGTATGTGCCATGACATTTTTTTATCACACAGTAACATATTGGTCAAATGAGAGTATCTTTGTGCCCTTGGGTAACATGGTAAAATTTGGCAAGTAAACCAATAATATGTGAATGCTGAAATAAGCTCTCTCTGTCAAGGAGAGTTGAGTCTGAAGCTCATTTCTGACTCATCGGAGTCGTCAAGATCCACCCCATAGTGAGGGGCGGGGTCAGAGTCATAGTCCAACAGCTCTGTGTCTGTGATGTGCGAGTCTCCTTCCACAAAGCTGGCAAATCTGAAAGTAATGGAACGCGTTGAAGAGATTTTAATAGGTAACATTCTGCGAGATTGTATAATTCCCTTTATAGTCTATACTGCATCTGAGACCCACTGCTCATGAAAGGTGACTAAGTTACACAAATTGCAACAATTTCCTGGGAAACATTAACAAATTTAATAGAAATTGTAATTGAATGCCTCTGATTCAAATCCTATTCCTTAACTATGAGGAACAAACATCCACAATAAAAATCCCCTTGTTCTACCTGGCTTGAGAGTTGATCCTGACAGTACTGGAGTCGGGTATTCAGCAGTCCCACAGTTGGTATCTTTTCTATAATCATTATAATTGCCCTACCTGGATGGAGAATTGATCCTGGAAATAGTCCTCCATGCATCACATTTAGGACTGAGACAATACTGGCGAAGGCTCTCCAACTGCTGGCGTGTGTACTCATCAGCCTGGCGTTGGTATTCCTCCTCACTTAACAGGTGCACTTTGGGTGGAAACCGCCGTCTCCTGTCCATAAAAGAGGAACATAGAGTTGAGTTTTCCATAACACATGATGGCATCACAAAAACTATGGTTCCAATGCAGGTGAATATTTTTTTCAATGCAATGTGTTTTTTATTTTTATATTTTCACTTGATCTATTCAATTTCTTCATTTCATTTTAAGAGGGAATATTTTTTATCTACATAGGTAAAAATTGTTTGTATGCTTGCTATGCTATTTTAAATGTGGTCAACTAACCTTTTGCCACTACTCACCACACTGATAAAATATAGTGTAATATCTTCCTTGGAAAACAGTGAATTGTTAATATAACAATGATAGTACTAATGGCAACTTCCTGGATCTGTCTTGTGCTTCCATATACCAAGCCTAAAGCACATAACTGTAATGTCCACTTTATGAGATTAAGACTCCTTGGGTCTGTCACTGGACCTCGCCAGTAGAGTACTGCTAAGGTTAATAATCCTGCAACTGCAAAGTAGCCCAGGACGTAGTGTGAATATGTTTCTAGTATGTTCTGCACGTTTGACCACATGGCATTGAGAAGAAAGAGACTGAAGGACCATCCTCCTACCAGCACAACATAGCCTGTTTTCTGAAAGTATTAATATGTATTTGTATACTCAAAGCAACAAAGCTTTCTGCAGAAATGATTTTTTGCCTTTTAACAAAATTCATTGGCCCACTGTTTTAAAATGGAAAATGATCATGTATCACATGAATTGTTTAAAATGTCATTTATGCATGCATATTGCATACTATTTTTCATAATTACTAAAAAATCTGGATATAACATGGAATTATAATTCAGGATTTCATGTATTAAAACAAACAACAAGCTAAAACATTCTAACATACGCCATGGCCTGGCAGTAACAATACAGGACCATATGTATACCTACCCTGGGCACAAACCTGCTGACAATAAACACAATGATAAGACAAGAAGCCAGCAGCCCCACAGTCATCCCAGTGCCATAGTAGAATACAATGTTCTTGCTGAGTCTTCTGGCATTGAAGAACAGAATCAGTCCCAGGAACAGGTATGTGATCAGCCAGGGGTCTATAGCTATTATTGAAAATTAACATTCAAAAATTAAAAGTATGAATAAAACAAAAATAGTTCTCACATAACTATAGTAAAAGCACAACTGTAGTAAAAGTAGAGAATAACTACAGTAAAATATCTGATCCTAGTTTTGGACAAATTTGCTATCTTTTAAACAGAAATAGTAATCTGCCCCAATCCTTAAAAAGTGATTAAATTGAAATGAGATGCCAAATTTTAAAAATATTGAACAAATACTTCAAATATTCATATTTCATGAATTATGCCTTAAATTTTTGTAATTATAATGCTAACCTCTAATCTTTAGTTTTACAGAATAACTAGTTTTGGTTGCCACACCAAGACATGACAACCTAAAGGTATCCATGGTAACCTCCTCCTTTTTCCATGGCAACAAGTTAAACCATGACTTCATGGCATTGTGATACTGTTCCTGCACAGCTGAAGTATTGGCACCTTTGAACAGCTCATAGTCCTCCTCACTGATTACTAGCCGTAGCTATGGTGACAAAAGAATGAGCTCTGTCATAACTACATAGTAAATAGTGTCTAATTTTTGGCACCAAATATGAAATGTTATTGTCTAAAAATGATAAGCTGCTTTCATTACATACATTGCAACAGTGATACTTGTAATGTTACAGGGTATATAAAGTAATGTGAAAGCATATATTGTATTACAATGAATCCCTCTAACATGTCACTTATTAATTAATTTTTAATGTTGAATCTTGTGTCATAAAGAAATTAGGAAAATATATCACTTACAGTTGCAGTAGTCCATAACTTTACTGCCTTATACTCCTCCCCTTCATAACAAAATACAACCAGCCTTGAAGTAGGTCTTGAATCAACTTTCTGCTCATTATTACTTTTTGTTAGACTGTATACGTAAGTCTCTGTGATAAAGTTGAACAAGAAAAAGATTAACTTTGTTTTCATCGGCATGGTATTAAAACAATCCAAACAGCTCTTGGCTGGCTATTTAATATAAATATATATTTAAAGGAAACCCATTTACCAAATAAATAAATAAATAAATTATAAGGAAAACTTCCAACTAAGTTACTGGTGTTTGCACATTGAGCATTTGCAACAAAAATATTTTGTTAGAAGATTTATCGGTTCAGCCACAAATAATTTCAAATCACGTACAATGGCCTCTTGGAATGATCGTTGAAACACATGCACTAGCTTGTAAATGTACTAATTCTAGAAGCATGAATCATTAGCTGAACTTGAAGATGAAAGTTGGTAAAAGGATGACTTAGTTCAGAAATACGAGGATTCCTATTTAGAATCCCCACTATTTTATTCTGTCACTTACCGAGAGATTCTACTAAAGAGGATTTTAAACAAGTTATGCATATGACCCCCCAAAATATTGCAAATTTCCAAGTAACTTCTGCACAACAGGAACGATTTCCCGCCGGCCTGGGCGCAGACATCTTGAAATATAATCTCCAAACTAAGATATAGACAAAGCAAATGCCAACTGTTCATTGTGTTACCTTTATATTTAAAAAATTAAGAGATACTTTTTAAAATATATCAAACTAGTTCTGATAAAATCTGGGTATTGTTAATTGGCTGTAGAATGCATTTAGTTAATTTTATCTTTATAATATCAGAGAGTACTATATAAACTTCCTGTCGCATCATTTTGGTTTGGAGTCCCTAGCAATCAATAATGGTAAGTGCAACTTCTCTCCGTAATTAGTGCATTTTAATCTCAACTTAAATGCATTTTGACGTAAAGGTAAAGGATTTAAGAAACAATCGTGACAATATGACTTTATGGCTGGACTATGCTTTTGCTTGAGGAAGTTTTTGTTCACCCCTTTTCCAACATGATATTCATTGCCATAATATTGGCAACGGCCTGATCGGCTTTTTGTCAGGGGTCCTACGAAAATACGAAAACTGCGAAAACCGCGAAAACCAGAAATTGCTAGGCGAAAACCTCACTATAACTTACCAATTCTCGATGTTCTTGACAAGTTGCTGTAATATTTGGATAACTTGGACCATATTACATACATCATGACCTTTGATAACGATGTTGTAATGAATTGAGTATGTTACAGCTGAGTTTTCTAGGTCGGCAACTATAGTGCGTGGGAGCCATGTTTGGTTTACAATTGGCATATATAAACAGCAGTGTCCCCTCAGGCCAGTATTGCCATATCAGGCCAGTATTGCCCTCTCAGGTTAGTAATGCTTTTCCAGGCAAGTAATACTCTCTCAAGTACTATATGAAGTGGATAACACAGATTACCTGCATTCTTAGTAATGCAAAGTTTATTAATAAATAGGATTTAATAAATATGCACAAAGTAGAACTTTTTTTTTC